GTTGGAGCCCGCCTATCACATTTCAACCCGCATTGAACTCCATTCAAAATCTCCTGATAGCCAATCAAGTAACCATTTACTCTAACTCAATCTGCAATCATGAGCTGGAAACCTGGACATGGTGAATGGGAATTGCCGAAATTAAAAGAGGCTCATCAATTTACGGTAAGTTCGTACATCTCCAAATATGTAACTACGGGTGTTTCTGAAAGCATGTCGGTGAGAATTTGATATGCTTCCACCAACTTTTTCTTTAATGCACAGCAAGGAAGATTCCTGAGAGGAAGAAACCCAATATCTAACTGCATATATCATTCTTTAGAATCTTCCTACCGGTATGTGATTACCCGTTTCGGTATCCCCTCATACCTAATCATGGCCTGACAAGTTTCAGAAACACGTAAAAATGCTCCAACAATCGAAAAGAATGAATTTTGGACAGTCAAATTTTATCCCTACACTAAACCTGGTGTCGATCCCATTTATGCTGTGGTAGGTGGGAGACATGTAAGTTTTAACCTCTCCCTTCACTCATCACATCTACATTACTAAATTAAACATAGATTTTGATATGTAGACCTCCTACTGATAAGAAAGGAATCGAGGTTGTACGATTAATTATCGACAAGGAGGTAAGTAGTTGACTTGAATAACCATTATGGTTGATCATTGATACGAGATCCTTAGCCAGATACAGAGCATTACGCATGTTGTTGGACAAAAGATTTAGCGAAGCCTCTCCTTTGTGTAGCAGGACTCAATGCCAAAATCAAGATTTGGGATGTACTTTCGGGCAAACTTATTAGGGTGAGTGACATTGGAATGTCTTCGTGTACCAAATACTAATTATTATTAGGTACTTGTAGGACACGGAGGAGTATGATTACCAAGTCATCACAATGTAGAATTGTAAAGACTGATCAGTGACAGGCAATCAATGAATTGATAATCTCTCCAACTGATCCTCACATATTAGCATCTTGTTCCAAAGATACTACAATTCGAATCTGGAGTTTGGATCAAAACAACGAGGAACATCCTTGTGCGGCGATATTGTCAGGTGGCCATAGAACAACCATTTTAACAATTGTACGTCTACATCATTCGTAAAATCATCTCAGATTACTAACTCACAAAAGGCTTTTCATCGTTCTGGTCGATATTTATTATCCGGAGGCGAAGATTACATGGTATGTCTTGTTAGTATTCATATTCTGGAGAGAAAACAATGATTTCTAACATCATGTAGTGGACATTACCTATCTTTCCAGATGAAAATACTGCAACAAATAAAGCAACAGAAATTCAATTTCCACATTTCTCGACATCTGAAATTCACACTAGTGCAGTCGATTGGTAGTTCCTCATGTCTCCATCATCACCATATTCAATTCCTCTCTACCCCTTCCTTACCTCAGGCCACAAATGAAAATCTTTACTGACACTCTCCTCCCAAGCGTTCAATTCCACGATGATTCTATTCTCTCTCGGTCAGCATGTGAGGACTGTATAGTACTTTGGGATATCACAGGATTTGATTCTGAAGGCCGACCTCCAAGTCAAGATGAAGCACCAACTCAACATGAGGCTGCTAATGGAAGTGCAACTCTGACATGTTTTACGGATCCGACAAAGAACGATCCTTATGTTAGATTAATTGAGTATGTATTGTTTTCCCTTCTTTTTGTTTCTTGTATTTTTGTCTTTCCCTTCCGATAGAAGACTTGTGACCTTGTTTCAATCTGGTTGTATTCATTCAATGCATGATGAGCAGAAGTAATCTCCCTTTCCACTCCGATCTCAATTTAAAATGGTAATAGTAGAAAATTTATGCTGCTGGTCTTTTTCTTGGTATATTATGGGGGCAAGCCCCCAAACCCCCTCAGCTCGCTACGCTCGAAGTCTTGAGTATAAAAGCTATGTTGATCGTTAAAAGATTGCCCACGCGTATGGCGCGGTATACATCCTTGAATCGTCCCTCTTGAGTTCTCCAGCAGGTAGTATATTATTCTAGTGTTCGGATAAACACGAATTTTTATCACCGAAAAGAACATTTTCTCTTTGAATAGTCTGCCTCCACGACAGTGGCCCCCGGAGGGCCAGCGGAGCGTCATCCAAGGGAATACATGCTCTCTTAAATTTACATCGTTCCATTTTTATCTTTATTCCCACACTCATAATTCAATTTCACCATTCCTGAACTAATTTCAACCAGATTTTCCACTCCAGGAACAGAAACTGCTTGGATTCGCTTTTCGCTCTTTGAAGGCATTCCACTTTCAGATCAATCTTCATCTATCGCTCCCGATCAAAACTTGGATCCAAACACTGGCCTTCCTCAAATATCTCATTCTATACTCGCAATCCCTGCTCTCGGATCCAAAGTTTACTTCTGGGATCTCAATCGTCTAGTCGCTTATAACGAATATTTACGCTCTTTACCTCCACACTTTACCTCTAAACATGAATCTGAATCACAAGGACCTTCCTCTTCATCAAATTCAGGCCTAACATCTGGTCAGCAAACCCCCAATTCCGAAGAACAACCCCAAAGTAAAATGAAACGTCCCGCATTCTTAACCCCTTTCCGCACCAGAGGCAAAAGAGGAGGAGCTTTCAAAAGCGTCACAGATAGAGTAAGAGATGCAAGTCCCGCAAGCTCCACCACCACCGCAACAAGTAGCTCGGGCCCATGTTCACATTCCAATCTTGCCTCTCATCCTCCTCTCAACGGATTGAAATTGGAAAGCGAGGCAGGAGGCGGCATCGTTGTGGAAAAAATCCCCACGACGAGAATGGATATTAAATTGTGGAATCACAAATACGATATTCGTCAAGCGTATCCGTTGAAGCGGTTGCTGCCTCATAAGGTTGAGACGGTCCCCGGCTGGAGTTTTATGGGCAGAGGTTGTGCTTGGAGTAGAGGGGGGGAGTGGTGTGTGGTTGCTGGGGGGGAGGGGGTCGTGGGGGTATTGGGGAGGTGGGCTGCGGGGGAGAAGTGAGATGTGAGATGGATGGGTTTGGGGTGGGGTGGGGTGGGGTAGGGAAGGGAATTAAATTTCTAGATTTATGAATACAGATTTGATTTCTTATTTTGCTTTGTTTTGTTTTGTTTTGCTTTGTTAGAGATATTATTGATATTGGTATTGATATTGACATGATATAAAATTACTAAACAATTTATTCATAACATTCCGAAAAAAAAAAGAAAGAAAAAAAAACTAAAGGTCTTCTGATGATATTATCTTGGATTTCGAAATTGTTTTATTTAACAAGGGGATTTATGGTACGGTACGCCTATACTCCGATTATATACATATACGAGATGATTTTTGATTTTTCATGCTCCGGTTTGAGGAGCGAGGATTACGGGATAATTGAGTTCGAGGGATGCTTTGGGGTTACCGTTCAACGGGACGAAATCGACGATGAGCGAATCTTTAACGGCGAAGACGGAGTCGTTTTGAAGATATTCGTCTTGTGAGTTGAAGATTTGGGTTGTGAGAGGTTTGTAATTTTCGTGTTGGACCTGTCGATTGTATGTGTGTTAGTCGAGTGCACATGGTAATTTTCAGGGTGAGAGCGGGAACTTGCTATTAAATGGATGTGTGCTGGTCGGAATGGATGTCGGTCTAATAATTGTAGGATTTTACCAGCGGGACCTGGATCTGCTTAGCGTTACCTCTTCAAAACGGCATATGGCATACCATCAAATGGAACGGGATATGGGGTTGGCTTCAAGCAATAAAATCCATAATGTCCATGCTCGTCAGTCTTGAACTTTCCTCTCAGGTTATGTTCCGCTTGTTCGTCATCTTGTTGTTCATATAATCCATTTGTTGATGCTTGCCATGCATCTACAGTAGCGCCAACTATAGGCTTCTTGGTCTTATGATCTGTGACTGTTCCATGCATATATACTATCTCACCATCATCAACTGGCGTTTGAATAATGGAAGATTCGTTTTCCAAGACGGGCGCATCGTGTCGGAAGAATGGTCCAAGAATCGCACTTGCGGTGGGAGCATCAACTGCATCTGCAGCTTTTTTGAATGTGATTTCGTCCACGAGTCTGTAGAGTTGACGTGTTAGAGATACAGAGCAATACTTCTGGGAGAAGGAAAGCATACGATTCTAAGCCAATGACGTCGCAAACTAATTGTCCCTCGTTTCTCTTGTGGTCGCTCATCTTTCCGGCTTCATTCAGAAGCTCAACTCCCAGCATCCATTCATCAACTGTCAGTTCTACTTCTCGCGCAAAGTCGTGAACGTGTTTGATGAGACAACTCATAACTTCTCTCATACGAGGACTGGTCTTGGGTCCCATTGCCTCAATGACATTTTGTGTGAAGTTTGGATCGAATTTGTGCGAGGCAGTGCCATTGGTATTTGCTGTTGCGTTGGCCATTTTGGATATATGGATAGGTATGAGTGAGAGTAAGAGAAAGAAGAAATGATGACAATATATCGATCAATTCATGAAGTCAACAGTTGGACGACGTTGAAATATATATCCGTCGGAAGGGTACTGCACTTCCGACGGATCATGGCGGCTTGGGATCAATGGTCCACGAAAGGCACACCTTCCCGGTCCACATAACGCCAAAGATTTCTAATGGCTTACAATTGATGAGACAATCAGACCTACATGTTACGATTGTGAAGTCTTGGACCCCGCAACACCCCACAGTATGAATGGATTTTCGGTGTCGACGGAAGGAATGAGTAGATGAAGCTTGGGATGTGAAGGGGAACTTAGGTAAGGTACACTGGTGGGGTCCGGAGATAAGTGGCGATAACCAATCGGAAGCGTGGGATTTGCGAGCCAACTAGGAAGGGCGTTCTTGGAAATCTCGTTACCTCCCCGATGATGAAACCCCCGCAATGATTCATGTACCGGTGGTGAGCTTTGACAGACAGACGCTTCAATTCCAGTTCCGCAATCGGCATTATCCACGATATGGAGAGGAGAGTTACGATCAATCGGTGTCAAAACGACATGCAAGATTATATCAATGGCTCTGTCTTCACTGGTTTCGATCGTCTGAAAGTCTCAACGCGATACAGATCCTTCTTCCAAGCCCTGGGTGGGACAATAGGTAATTGAAAACAGAGAGACCAAGGTTATACATACACCTGTCTGCGCAATTGCAATGTCACTTCCTTCTCTGGCCAGTAACGACTTCCCTTTCAAATACAAGTAAGCCGTGGCTTTATTGTCATCTGCATCACCAGGATTGCAAAGAATACTACCCTTCGTACGCCATTTGTGATGCTCACATGTAACCCCGCATCAAGCTGGAGTTGAAAGAACAGCTTCAAGTTCAACTATCAAGGCCATTCCGTGAATCATTATTTACTTGTCTTTCTAATACTTCAGTTGACCAAAGGTTTTAGCTCCTTTGCGATATATCTTCACTATACTTCCATATTTTCTACCTGTGAGACTTTCTGAATCGGAGGCGATCAAGAAAGATCTACGCGGGTATACAAAAAAATGGATTTGACTCGGGAAACCTTCTCGAAAGTGGATGTTCTCATAATTGGAGCTGGACCCGCTGGTCTTATGGCAGCAACATGGATGGCTCGTTGTGGAATCAATGCTCGAATTATTGACAAGAGAGGCACCAAGATCTTTACCGGGTATGGATTGTCGAAGAGTCCTAAGATTCAAGAAACCCATGGACTAACATGAGTTGTGTTCCAGTCAAGCTGATGGACTCCAATGCCGTACCTTGGAAATTCTTGATTCGTTTGGCTTTGCAGATAGAGTATGGAAGGAGAGCAATCATATGCTTGAGATTTGTCTCTGGAATCCAGACTCTGAAGGAAGGTTGAGAAGGTCGGATAGAATACCAGATACTATTCCTGGAATTAGTCGGTTTCAACAGGTTGTTTTGCATCAAGGTACGTACAATGGATTATTTCATGGCAGCAATAAGTCAACTAATATAGATGTCTCTTCAAGGTCGTATAGAGCAATTCTTTCTCGATTCTCTCGAAGAACATAGTAACATCAAAGTTGAACGTGGGATATTTCCATACACGCTAGCATTTGACGAAACAAAAGCGGAAGATCCAAATGAATATCCTATTGAAGTCGTTGTACAACATCTTACCGATGATCAAATTAACCCCAGACAGAGTCAAGCAACAAGAGATGGAGCAGCAACTTCCGATGGTCTCTTCCGAAGTAACATAGCTGCTGATGATGATACCGATGAAGTTTTGAGTGACGCACATGAAAATGAACTAACAGTGATAAATGAGACAGTCAAGGCAAAATATCTGATAGGATGTGATGGTGCACATTCTTGGACACGAAGACAATTAGGAATTCAACTCGAAGGTGAACAAACCGATTTCATTTGGGGTGTACTTGATATTATTCCCATCACAAACTTTCCAGATATTCGAATGAGATGTGCAATTCATTCCTCGAAATCGGGTAGTATGATGGTTATTCCAAGAGAAAACAAACTCGTCAGACTCTACATACAGATGACTACAACAGAAATTGGATCAAAGATTGAGCGATGGTCCATCAATCCTAAAATAATTTTGGATTCTGCTCAAAAAATAATGGCACCTTACAAACTAGATTACGAAACCTGTGATTGGTGGACAGCTTATCAAATTGGCCAGCGAGTTGCCTCGAATTTTTCTCAATACGATCGTATCTTCCTGGCTGGTGATGCAGTACACACCCATTCACCTAAAGCTGGACAAGGGATGAATGTCAGTATGCAGGATACATATAACTTGGGATGGAAAATCGCTGCCGTTCTCAATGGAACTGCTAATCGATCCATCTTGAGAACATACGAATCTGAGCGCCGCGCCGTTGCTCAAGAACTGATCACCTTTGACCATAAATTTTCTCGATTATTTTCTGGTCGTCCAGCAAAAGATATTATGGATGAAGAGGGTATTAGTATGGAAGAATTCAAAGATGCTTTCGAAAAGGGGAATTTATTTGCTAGTGGTGTATCAGTCAATTACGGCGCTAGTATCATTGTTGCCAAAGAAGACGATGCTGCAGCACAAGGTTATGAGATCGGAGTTGCCTCGAACATTAACACTAGAGTTATAGGAAAACAACACTTGGCCACTAATATCAAAATCGGAATGCGAATGTCCAGTTTCAAAGTCCTCAATCAATCAGATGCAAGACCTTGGCATTTTCAAGAACTCTTAAAAAGTGATGGACGTTGGAGAATTATAGTTTTTGCCGGAGATATATCAAACGGGAATCAAATGTTTCGAATCAAAACTCTTAGTGAAGGATTAAAAACTCTCGCGGCGAAATATACATTAGGAACCAAAAGAACTGACTCGGCAATCGAAATTCTGATGATCCATAGCGCACCACGAATAAATATCGAACTTCTAGATCTTCCGGAGATCTTCCATCCTTGGAGTACAAGGAATGGTTATGATTATAACAAGGTCTATGTGGATGATCTTTCGTATCATGAAGGGTATGGGAAGGCGTATGAGGGGTTTGGAGTGGATAAGAAGAGGGGTTGTATGGTGTTGGTGAGACCGGATCAGTATGTTAGTTTGGATCGGGGAGTTGGAGGATGGAGGTGAGGTTGAGAGTTTTTTGGGGGGGTTTTATGGTGGGAAATATGGAGGGGGGGTGGGGAGGGGATGGGATGGGTTCACAAAACTGAGAGAGGATTGGGAAATGAATGTAATTTGATGGGTGAGGGTGAGGGTGAGGGTTGTTGGGGGCTGGGATGTAGTGGGTTGTGAGTTATGGGGGAGTTGGCATTCAATGAGTATGTATATCTATCTTATTACTCATCAGGTAAAAAGAGAAGTAGAAGAAAGTTTCGAGATCAATAATTATTTTTGAGTAAGCAGAATGCATATAAACGTTTTGTGCGAAGGAGTGCTAAACGTATGCCAGGAATTCAATTCAAGGCGGGAGATCAAAGAGGAAATCAAGATTTCATAGGGAAAGAAGGCAGAAACTGGAGATCTATAATAAAATGAATTAGATGTCCCGAGAGTATCAGCCGAAAATAGCGAGCTTCGCTGCGGTTTTGGATGTGTAACAAAAAGAATGGGAGTGGCATGTGGAGTAATAGGAGAGTGTGGAGAAATGTTTTGTTGCGTATCTGTGAATTTTGGGGGTGGGTAAGGAAAGTGGGTGCGGAATTTGGGTGTGGGAATGGCTGGAATGGGAATGGCTGGAATGGGAATGGCTGGAATGGGAATGGCTGGAATGGGAATGGCTGGAATGGCTGGGATTGCTGGGATTGCTGGAATCAGCTAGAATCAGCTTGGGTTTCTGCGAAAGTGGTGAGGAGGGGGAGAGAAAGGGGAGAAAGGGGAGAAAGGGGAGAAAGGGGAGAAAGGGGAGAAAGGGGAGAAAGGGGAGAAAGGGGAGGAAAGGGGAGAAAGGGGAGAAAGGGGAGAAAGGGGAGAAAGGGGAGAGAGAGGGAGAGAGGGAGAGAGGGAGATAGGGGTAGATCTCCTTGGAAATGGAGGAGATTTGTTTGAAATGTGGGGTGGGTTGTCGCTGGTTTTTGGCTGGATCTCGATGAAATGGTTTGGGTCTTGGTGAAGGTGGTGAGAAAGGGACAGGTGGGGGTTAGAGAGACTTGATCTCCTTTGGAAATGAAGGAGATCACTTTGAAATGGGGGTGAGAGTGGCTGATTTTCTGGCTGTATGTCGATGAAATGGTTTGGGTCTCGCTGAATTTGGCGACGAATAGGAGAGAGAGAGCGGATCTCGTTGGAAATAGTAAGGCTTTTATTAAAATCAAGATGTATATCATTGTTTTCTGGCTGAATATTATCGAAAAATGCCTGGGTCTTGATGAAATCAACCAGATCTTTCGGAAAGTAGCGAGAAAGGGGAGAGATAGAAGAAGGAGGAATATATCTCATTAGAAATCACAAGCCCTCATCGCATTTAACCTACTTGTAGCTTTTTCTGGCTGGACGTCGCCGAAATGCCCGTATGTAGCTGAAAGTAGCGGGAAGGAGGTTTGAAAGGGGAGGTTCTTCGAAACGGCGGATTCTCCTTGGAATAGGTATGATCTCACTAAAAGAGCCTAGATCTCGCTGAAAATGGTGGAAGGGGGATTTTAGAAACAGCGGAGATCTTGTTAAAATCAAGATGTGTATGGCTATTTCTGTCTCGGTCTCGGGGGAAAGGGCCTAGATCTCGCTGAAAAATGGCGATAGATGGAGAGAGGGAGTAGACCTCATTGAAACCAACCTGTTTGTGGCTGTTATTGGCTGTGCCTCATTGAAAATACTTGTATCTCACCAAAACTGGCGAGAAAAAGAGGAGAGAGGGTAGATATCTGGAAATAATAGAACCCTTCCAAGGTTGTTGAAATTAACCTGTGTGTGGCTGTTTCCTGCCCAGGGCCCGTTGGAATAGGCCTGGGCTGGGCATCGCTGTTTTGATAGGGTTGTAGGGGGATTTTCATTTTGATGTTGATGATGGTGATGAGTGCTAGCTCGATGAGTGTCAAGAACGCTAAAAGAAACCTCGAGAGGTAGTGCAGTAATTTTTTGCATTTCTGCGGATCCTCGAATTTGTGGGGAAGGGTTAGAGAGGATGGAGTATCATTGTTAGTTTTATGGGGAGGGAGAGAGAGGTGGTGTCGTGGCATGGGTATTGATTATACTGGGCAAGACTTCTAAATACTTTATTATCGATGAGTCGTTTTGTTGTTGTTGATATCATTGTTGTCGTTGCTGTTGTCGTTGAAACTCGACCATCACAAATGGTAATTTGACCTGCGAGCTAGAACTCATCGAACGTAAATTGACTGAACTTTTCCAAATCTGCTAATCAGCGGCATCTCAGACTGAAGGAACCACATGTACATCTTTCCATTTTCATTGTTGCCTTCTTTATGAATTCTTGTCTCGAGAAGGAGGAAGAGGGGTGGTTTATATACTCATGATTGCTTTTCTGTATTCTATCTTTGGCTCATGAGTGAATAGCTGTCCTTTTTCTTATCATCTATCCACTTCTTGACGCTGGAACTCTTGAGTATATGGATGAAGAAAGTGCTATGTGATTCAGGGAAATATCTAGGTAGTAAATATGACATAGTGAAGGTAAAAGAAGGGATGGGCAAGCTAGAGTATTTCAAATTCACTCATTCATCTATGATCTCCCGGGTAATCACCTGGAGAATCTTATAAGGACAGTATTTAAGAGACTCAAACCCATAACCAAAAAGTACAACAATTTCCTGCACAATCGGAATTCTCGTCAAGGTGACGCTTTGATTCTTCAGACTCTTGCTGCTTGCAATGGAGATAATATAGGTTGGCGATTTTCATTTTGTAAAGAAGAAGCGTGATGGAGGGGAAGATGATAACAATAATACAGAGGAATACGGTGTCGAATAGTGGGTAGAAGATCATAGCTGCCTGGCTACATAAGTATTGACAACGATGATAGTCATGATTAAGTTCCATCAAAAATATGCTATCGAACAGAACTGCTGTTATCAAATCTTACCAATTCATAGGCATTCACACCAGCTACGCTAAAAAATCATGCATTCACAAAATCCCCAAAAACCCGCTCGATTTCTATATCTCCGAGGGAGGATAGATGACCCAGCTTTACATCGCTCCGCTGGACTCTTGACTTCTTTCAATGGCTTTGCATTTGGTCTAAAGAGAAGAAACTCGAGTAGTAGATGAGCGGGGGTTTATATACTCCTCCACTGTTTTCCCCTTCTCGCTTCCTGCATTGTGTTCCCCTTTTCCTCCTGTTAAGTATGAAGAAGAAGCTGGATATTGTATTGAAGATTGCAAAGAAAATTGAGATGTAGAATACATTTCTCACGGCTCATGACTCACGACTCACTGATACACAATAGATTAAAAATCTTTTCTCGCCTACTCTAATCCTATACAGCGGATACATTTATGAGTGAATGGATTTGGTTCGGAAGAAATATTTTCCTGTTGACAGGTAGACAGGTAGATAGGGAGATTCCTACCGTTAAAATCCATCGTATATTCCAACCCTTCAATCCTTCCAATACATCGTAAAACCATAATAGTATCCCATATTCCATATCCTATACATCACTCTCCGCAATACAAAAACATCCAGTCCTCAACCCTGAATCCTCAATCCTTAACATTAACATCAACATTCACTCCATGATAAATCTCTCTGTGATATATTTAAAAACTCTGAAATCTTAGATATTACATCATTATTATCTCACTCTTTCATTCTTCTCGAGATATGAAGTTTCGAGCTCGAGAGATTCTCGGAAAGGATTTGAAAGTTTGGTTGAAGTTTTTGTGTGGTTTGATGGGATGAGATGGGACATGTATAATGGGATGAGAATAATATAATATAATATGGTCTGGTATAGTGTAATAAGATATTGGAAAATGAGATGAGAGAAAAGTTGAGATAGATTTAATATCGATAATTCGAATCATGAATCTTACATTGATAAGATACAACACGGAACAATCCAGCAGCAGATAGGATATCACAGGTAATAAATCCGAGTTTCTGGTATAGGAAGCTTAAGAACGGGGGTTTAAAGTTTATATTTTTGGAGAGTGTTGAGTCTGTTGATGTGATGAAAATTGGGGTGGGAAGCTTCGTTTAAAGGTTTGGGGGGAAGAGGATGGATGAATCGATGAAAAGTATGATATTGTGATTCGAGTATTTGTGACGATGAGATGTGCAATAGATTAGTTGAAAGAAACGAGGCTTTGGATGGTTTGTACAGGATCATTATTAAAAGCAGAAAAATCATTACAGAGAAAATTCGTTAACTCCTTTGCTTGATAGCTCCTCAACATCGATGTGCAATTAAAAACTAGGTTGAGCACTCAGACCAGCGATGGATAAACTCAGAACAGAACAACAACTTTGTCATCTAAAAAAGGAAATAACTTCTCACTGAAACATTGAGTAATCACATAGAATAATATATAAATTGACCTCAACAACACCAAAAAGCTATCATCCCTGAAGACTCCAAAGCGACCTTTCATACCCCAGACACCTAACCTAACTAGATATCACTTTTCCCATTTACTTTTTATAGCTTCCCTTGAAAACCCTCAAGAAATCATTCTCTCCATCACCCTCATTCCATCTCACAAGTGGTTTCAACCCCGCGAATTTCCAAACCCCATTAACCTTTCTATAATAATGCTCATTGGTGGCATGACTATGACCCTTCAATTTGATCTCCTTCAAATCCGCATCTTTATACACTTGATGACCAGCTCTCAATTGATGATGACCAATAACATAATCGTCTGAGATTTTTTCCCAGCGGGTAGCACCGAGAAGATGTTGGGTCTTGACGCAAGGATCGCCGAGGAAATCGTCATCGGTTACCATGGCCATAAATTGGGAGGCAGGCATGGCTTCCCAGCGGGCTTTGCCAATGGTGGTGTAGTCTACGAGGAGCTCGGGTGCGATGATGGATTCGAGTCTTTTCCAGTCCTGTGGGAGTGTTAGGAGATGTGGGGGATTAGGTGGGAGGGAAGTTTGGGGTTGGGTTACCTTTGCATCATAGCTGTCACCCCAATCGAAGACTAATGCTGTGAGGTCGAGGTAATCTATATCTTATTAGCATTATTCCTTATCATCAATTTGTTGTCCGAAGACAAAGTAGAACGTGCTTACCCTCGAATGAAACTCTACCTTGAGCCATATTGATTGAGGATATGTTGTTTGTGTAAGTAGAAATCGATGTAAATATGAGGACGAGTGTGAATAGAATGTCAAAAGAAAAATCAAAAGAACAACGACGACTTGCACATCATATATGTACACTGCTAGAGCTAACGATCCAAGCATGAGCTATCTTGAGCTTGAGCTTCGCGCCGCTTCGATTCCTCGCGGCCTCGCTCTTGGTGAATCCTGAGCCCGAGTCCGGCTGCTTGTACAACCTCCGGGACGAATATGCACGCCATGACCCCCGGGTACCTTTTTTCTAATGGATACAGTAAACATTATCCTAGTGATAGTGTGGTAGAATGCTGTCAATACCGAATCTTGTTCGGACTTCCTCCAGTTTTTGGACGGATCTGAAACAACGAAAGCGAACTGTAGAGGAATTTGTTGTTTCTCATCGCATCGCAACAATGGTTGGAGCTCCGTAAGCCAAGGCTGAGATGGTGATGATGAAGTTGATGACGATGAGATTAGTCCGGACTTTACTGGGATCGTGTTACTGCATGTTTTCTGGCTGCATCTCGCAATCGCTCTTGATCTTGTTTCATGGTGACTGGCTACTATTCTGCTGTTAGATCTGTCAAACTGAATCATGAAGTTATCAATGTCGATCCGAAGACATGGGTTCAGGTGGGGAGTGACCTCAATGTGGGGGTGTCTCAACCCTAAAGATCGTAGTCAATAGCCTAGCCAAAGCGGCCCTCACTCAATGCATGTAATAGTATCGCCCAACAACTTTGACAATTTCTCGTATTAATTGGGAAATATTTCCCGTTCACCAAACCTAATGGGATTTAGATCAGATGATTAAAAACCCGAAAGTAGAATAGAACTTCTCGAGGAAGAAAGCATCCAGTCTTCATTAGTTATATGATTGGTAGATGATCAGACCTTCAGCTTGCAAAACCTTCGCTTATCTGGCTATCCTAGTGAGTAAGCGGACGACACTTGATCCTACTCCCAAAATCCGTGCATTGCCGTGCGGAGAATTGTTGAAACATATTATCAACAATTGATAGTGATGATCTGTAATTCGCACTTTTCTTATTCTCATCAGCGATTCATCGCATCGGAATTGCATGGGTGTCAGTATACACAAGAATTTCAAACTGCACGAGCACTGCCTATGGATGGAATGGAAGCCTCTAAAGCCTCGCCGCGTTCTTGAGTACGCCCGAAGACCGAGAGGTCCGAGGAGCTGTCGTGGCCGGGTTTGTCCAGTGATATAAGATGTTCATTGCCCATTCAAATATACAACTTCATTTCTCGTTCCACGCTTTATATTGCTGTATAATCTTTCTTGCACTTGTTGTGCTTTCATATCATATACCCATTCTTACGTTACGTTAAATATCTATAAAAACATAATGTCTGCATCACCAGCACCATTCAAGACCCTTGAGGGAAAGGTCGCCCTCGTAACAGGCTCCGGTCGTGGAATTGGTCGAGGTATCGCTCTTGAGCTCGCTGCCCGTGGTGCAAGCGTTGTTATCAATTACGCCAACTCTGCTGGACCAGCTGAAAAGGTTGTCAAGGAAATTGAGGCACTCGGTAGCAAGGGATTTGCTATCAAAGCCGATGTCTCCAAGGTTCCAGAAGTCAGACGTTTGTTCGAGGAGGCTAAGGCACATTTCGGTAAGCTCAATATTGTTATGAGCAATTCGGGTACCGAAATATTCAAGGACGAGGAAGATGTTACCGAAGACGATTACGACAGAGTTTTCGGCCTTAACACCAGAGCTCAATTCTTTGTCGCTCAACAAGCTCTTATCCACCTCGAGGAATACGGAAGAATTGTTTTGATGTCTTCTATCGCTGCCAATATGTCTGGTGTACCAAACCATGCTTTGTACGCTGGGAGTAAGGCGGCCGTCGAAGGTTTCGTTAGATCTTTCGCCAAGGACTGTGGTAAAAAGAAGATCACATGCAACGGTATTGCTCCTGGTGGAATCAAAACCGATATGTACGAGCAGTAAGTTCTTCCAAAGCCTCATACCAAGGAATAACGCTAACATAAAAATAGAAATGCATGGCATTACGTTCCAGGTGGATTTGAGGGCATGGATGTAGATATCATTGATAAGGGACTTGCTTCCGTATGCTCACTTGGACGTGTCGGTGTTCCACAAGATATCGGAAGAGTTGTATCATTCTTGGCAGGCCCTGAATCTGAATGGGTCAATGGTAAGGTCTATTATGAACAACAATTATTCGTGTGACTAACATTATGTAGGACAAATTCTTCAGCTCAATGGTGGTGGAAAGTAAAGTAGTAATATTGCGTGGATCTGAAGTCGATAGAGTTATGTATCATGAATTGTTGGTTCTTTGCAAAAGTATCTCGTCCGGTTATAGACGATAAAATTCTAGGGACATATAGAAAGTACGAAAAATATAATAACATCGCTAAATATTATCCTGGTCCGTTAAATGATGATTGATGCAGTTCTTGTATTTCCGTGTGTGAGAGTAACTTAAATGAAATGATTTAGCCATATATGCATTCCAGATTCATTTCTGACATCACATCCACTACACACAACATGAGTTAGTAAAAACTTCAACGGTGAGGAAACTACATAACACCAAGTCAAATCTAAAAAGTATAAGGGTGAAGTTGTCACAATCTTTGTCAAGAAATGAGGTAACGTACTCCAGAATACTTCTTGTCCAATATCGGCCCTTGCCCAAGTCTCTTCTATCAGTATTAACGCTTTCGTCATGGGCTTCGCAGGTAAAGACAGTTTGAACTCTTGAAAACGAGTAATAATGAACCGACGAGCTGCCGCAATATCCACTTCAAAATTAGTGATGCTACTGGAAATTGCTGCACTACTCAAGGTGGAACCATGTGTGTAACCAGGTCCCTGGAATTGGTTCGCTCCGAAAGGTGTATCGATAGAGAATGCGTTCATTGATGCTGTAGAAAATTTAAGCTCACTTGCAGCAACGATCATGACAATAGGCTGAAGACATCGAGTACCAGATGTCGACGGTATCTTCTCGAGAAGAGATGTTATATGTAACGCAAGCGATATCAAAAATTCTTCAACAGAATGCGAAGCTGGCAAGGATAGTATCTCTTGAGAGTCAGGCTGTCGGTTTAAATAGATTGAAGGAAATACACGATATATCTCCAGGAGAGCAGCACATCGATATGCTTCCGCCAGCAAGATGTACTGCCTAACGGGTGTATTCTCGTCACCGGCATCGACAAGTTCAGTTTCGGTTGGTAAATTTACTGCCAGTAGTTTTTCTTCCAAATGCCGTGCCCTGTGAGTCCACTCGACGCTAGCAAAAACAGTTGATGAAAGAGGCATGGAATTGAAATCAAAGAAGGGTTCACCGAGAGCAATGTTTGGAATTGTATTAAATGTTGACTTTCGATAAGATCGAATCAACCTTCCGACTTGAGCGAATAACCGCTGAATCTTTGGCGCTACTCCAGTCCAGGGATGAGGAAATATTTGGTGGTCTATCCTTGGAGCGGTGGCACTTTCTACTAGCATACTGTCCTCCTCTAGCATGGCGATATTTTCTTCATCTTCAACAAATCCAGCCAACAAATCCCAGTACAAAATACATTGCTGGAAAAACTCATTTTGTCGGCGCATTTTGTTATCTGGGTTCGCACCTTGTCGTGATAGGCGTTGCTTGTACAATCTCTTGGCTGTCTTCAGATGTGCTAGACCTAAATCTCGAGGATTGTGCCATGCTGTAGTTTGACCAACCAAAAGCACAGTCAAGAGAGTCTTGTCGATATTATCATGAGATTCGACCCCAGTACGATTCGATTGATATAAGCACTTAAATGTCTCTCGTTGCATTTGTGCTCCGACAACGGACATGCGTGGGAAGTCATGTGAAAGATAAGCAGCGGCCATGCTCTGAATAGCGTAGTATATCGGTGCTGAGTCGTCCCAGAGTTGGCCGACGGTAGACCGAAAAGGATTAAAAATACCGTCAAACGAGGAGAATATTACACAAATATATCCGAAATAATATTCCACCAGCATGGTTGGGAGATGAACGAGAAACTCAGGTACAGTCGAGTTACTCAGTTGATACCGAATGGCGGAAAGACTGTCAGTGAAATTTGGAGTGGATAATCTCCTAACCGTAATCTCAGGGCTCTGTACAGATCCATTTTGGCTTCCTTCGCAAGATTTGGCATGATCAATAATATCTGCATCATCTTCTTTTGTATTGGATTCCGTCACTCCTCTGCCGGGCATTTGATCCACGGAAGATTTCAAACCGAGCTCCAACTGTCTCTTCAGAGCTTTCGCTGAAGATGGTAGTGGTCTATCATTATTCTCAACAAGAATCTTCTCATGCTTCGTCGACCAAACTAGTCGTTGTGAAGCATAGCAACACTCTGCTTTTCTTTTGACGCATTGAAGGCAATGCGGCTTCTTCTCATCACATTTCAACTACCTCCATGTCATTACTCGAGTTATTATGTTCCTGACAAGCGAGTCTTACACGTTTGGTCTTGCATCTTTGACAACCCTGTCGAGACTTCGGGGCTCGACGAGCATTGGTTACATTTACCTGACCTACATTTGAAGACGACAGAGTGCTTGAAACTTCTGAAGTGGAAGGGATATCCATCGCGGTACGTGATAATATTGTTGGGGAATAGTTGAAACTCGATTGGCATTAACCAACGCTCTGCCTAAGTATGGTCAATAGCAAAATGGATTTGAATATCAAGAAAATGTAAACAAATCATTGAGGAGGAACATGATTCAGAGTGGGGAAAGTCTGCCAAGGCGCACGTGATTGCACTAAATTGACCTATTACTGTAGCTCGAATCATGTTACTTTTTCAGAGGATCAATTGGTTTGAGTTTGAGAATTCCAAGGATGTCATTGAATTTAACTTCATCATTCCCAATATCGTAATACTTGCGTATCTTGCTACATGAATCACCAATACACATCAAATTATGATTCGAATTTCGTCTTCTGACTTCCAGATATCTTGGCGTTCCTTCAATGTGTTTTCCATCAGCACGGTAGATATTGCACTCGAGTAGAGTCTTCTCAATGCTATACGGCCATTCCTTCTAAGCAAAAGATATGGAACCAGCAACTTGGAGATTTTGAGAAATGGTTAACATTTTTCACGTGATGGCTGGCTGCATTGACGATGTGTGTTCTGTTGTCGTTCCATCCAAACTCACAACCCGTGCGAGAAGGATTGAAGATTAACCTTCCAATCACTTCAGGAGTGTTTCTCTGAAGGCATAGTTGTCACATTTTAGGGACTTTCAAATAGAGTTGTGGGTTTATGTTTATGTGATATTTAGTCCCAACTCTTTCATAGCCACCGTCATCAACTAGCCCAGATTTCCCTGGTGTTTCGGGCGTTGAAGAAGATTCATTTTTACTTCAAGGTCAACTATTGTCAACTCTCTCATCATTCTAGAAATTCTAATGATGTTCCAATGTTCTGCAAAGGTCCGGGCGTTGGTCTTCATCTGGCTTAAGAGCAAAAATCGCCAAAATTTGAAACATCTTACGATTCGAAACAAGTCTTCAGACAGATAAGGGTCAACTTTATCATTGAATGATGTCGTTGAGGGACCACGCTTCTGTCTCATATGAGGTTGAGATCTTGTGTGGTTGGCTTATGGTAACCGCCTTACTGATATTCGTCTGTCATTTCTTGCCCATAACCTTGGATGTTTATGCGGAAAATCATAAAAGTATCTTTTGAAGAACTGCCATACTTTTTCTATTCACGCGTAGAGCGAAACAACTGATGTGATTATCTTGAAAGAGATTAGAGTCTTGGCGGTCGCAGCACATCAGCTCGCAATACAATTATAAACACTATTTATTAACTAACTGCCATTACCTCGCATCATATTTGCACCGCAAAGGGGAATCATTGCGACCGGTGAAATTTCGACAGCTTTTCAAGTCCAGGTTCAGAATTTTGGACGATCTCGTCATGGTCAACACCGGAAAACCATCGAAAGGATGCTACTTATGTAGAGCGAGGCGGATCAAGGTATGTTTTCTCGCTTCGACAAACCAGCATCAAAGTATGGAGCATTAGTTTCTAATCATTATTTCAGTGCGATGAGGGTAAGCCTTCATGTATGAGATGTCAAAAGTCAAAACGAGAATGTCCTGGTATGGTGTTGTTCCAGTGCACATGATCTATCTGTCATTAATAATCACAATAATAGGCTATCGCGATGAGTTTGAGCTCAAACTTAGAGATCAAACCAAAGCCACCAAGCGAAAGTCTTCAACGTCTTTCGATACTACTTTTCCAACTTTCACAGTAGACTCATATAGCTACCAATTTGGCCAAAGTAGAAATGACCGACCGACGAAAAGGAGAATGAATACCTCGGACAATGGAATCATTTACAGAACTAGCGATTCCATTAACGATACAACCACAAACTCATTCTATATATCTTCATACGCTGATTATGGTTCAGCGGAACCAACCATGCCGATATCACCAGTCTCAGAGATCGAGAATGAGCTGCCCTGGTCACCCAAAACTGTTATCCCTCGTGAATTCTCGCCCCCGATCGATCAACAAGCCACTTGCTTCTTTTTGTCTAATTTTGTTCTTCTTCCACGAGGACACACGGCCAAAGGAAATCTGGATTTCCTCATACCACTCGTATATGGCAGCTCAAGAGAAACCTCACTTGTGCTTGCTTTAAATGCCGTAGCACTCGTGGCTTTCGCGAATCAACCAAATGCTAGAAAGCTCCTACCTCTAGCTGATAGGCAATATGTAACGGCTTTAAATCAAATCAATAACGATCTACAAGATGTACATAAAGCAAAGGAAGATGCAACCTTGGCAGCGGTGTTCTTGTTGTCCTTCTACGAGGTAAAATGGCTTTAGATCTTGGTATTCCTTCATGCACAATGCTTACTCTGGGACTAGCAAATAAGCTCTCATTCCATGTCCATAAGTGGATGGGAGTCTCATATCAATGGAGCTATAGCACTAGTGAAAGCTCGAGGCAAAAGCCAGCTCGATACAAAGATCGGATGCTCTTTATTTGATGCAGTCAGAACGCATATGGTAATTCTTTGATACCAACGAATGAAATATAGCTAATTGTTTGTAGACTATCGAGTGTATCAGCCGTTCGAAGGATGTTGAGGAAGGCATCGACTGGTGGACATCTTTTGCATCAGACGATAAAGTACAACATGACGTATCAGTGCTCAATCTCAAAGTTGCAGACTTACGCGCAGAAACCCACAGGATCTGTGCCCTTGAAGGACATACCACAGAAAACATCGAGAAGATACTCAACCACATGAAGAAAGCAGAACATATTGAAAAAGAATACGTCGACTGGTATTCTAATCTTCCTGAAGAATGGACACCCAAAGTAGCGGCTTGGGTTGATGATACAGTGGAAAAAGACCTGGAATTCACAGATTGCTATCCAGGAAGAGTCGATGTATACGGCGAGCTGTGGATGGCTACTACACATAATATTGTACGCGCCTCGAGATTATTCATCCTAACCACTATTCTACGATGCACCGCATGGATCACTGCCGACCTCGATTACAAACTCACACCGGAATACGTGAAAGTTTCGCGTCAAGCAAGTGTATTAATTGAGGATATCGTGTCTAGCATTCCATTTTTCTTCGGCTGGAAAGCACCAGATGCCGAATTTCCCATATCCGAGAACTCATGTTTCCCCTGTGGCAACGATAGCAAAATAAGTGGCAAGGGTGTAACGGGCGTATGGGCTATATGGCCAGTGTTTGCAGCGGCGGCATCTGATTTCGCGACTAGTTCTCAACGATTATGGCTAAGAGGACGACTGAAATATATTGCGGAACATTTGGGGATTCGTCAAGCAGAGGTGTTACTCCAGGTATGTCGGCTTCTTTCCTTTCTAATTAATATGTTAATTAATCTTCGTAGCTGCCAACTCGTTATCCCTCAACTTTCATATATAGAGATAAGATCAAGATTGAAGACCTGAAAAGGACCAAGATGGCCAGTATGGTCGGAGGAAATTATTCATCGATGTGTGGAACTCCTGCGATGAGTTCTTAATATTGTATTCCCCTTGGATCAATAATTGTACACTACAATTTCTTTCTCTGTTACTTATTACTTTACAATATAATTTTCTTTACTCGAAAGGAATAAGAATTACCCATTGGCATATCAATACATATCAATTTGTTGCACCAATCGAATCGGCTGATAGTTCCCGCACAAAATTGATACAGAGCGGATAACGACACGAGCGGTAGATTAACCTTATCCGACCCGATCAGCTATCCGACAGGCACACGTCCATTTGTGGTACATCTTGCTGTCCTTGTCCAAAAGGCGTAAAAGTTGTAGGCAACAATAGTTACTGGCTCCCTCGTATATTTTCCCTTCCATTCCTTCACCGTACTAGGATGGGAAACGGAGATGTGAATTCCTGTGCCGTACAGGGTAGAGGATTCTACCCCAACGGACGTCCGGTGTGTTTGTCTTGAACCAACAAGTTTGTATTTTGGGAATGGAAGCAAGCATAGCATGAGAGTGACAACCCATCTGGTTTTCGTCAATGACTCGCGAGAAGTGAGAATGCGTGGACATGTATGTATTCTTATCAGACAACTGTCATTGCATACCTACTGGGCAGAGGGTCGTTTATAGCGAATAAAGCATCCTTATCACGTGTTTGTAGATTTCGAACATCAAATGTAATGAGAAAACGAGTTTTAATTACCTTGTCATTTCAGCACAGTCAAGCAGATCGAGACTACGAGTAAATCGCGGTTGATTTCTAATAAGATATCTTCTCAAATCACGTGCGGCTATCTCCCCGACATGTGGGCCGCATCTCTATCCGCTTGAAGCTATAGATGGGTATGGAAAGAACTCCGTTCAGCACAAAATAAACAACTCCATCTAATAAAAAGAACCCTCTCGAAAGTTGTTTGAATTGAATCCAATCCTGCACCTCCACCATGCCCTTCATCACCCTAAACCAAAAATCAATCTTCTACACCCTCACCCCTCAAACTGAAAATCTCCAGAACCCGGTAACTACACTCTTGATCCACGGGCTGGGTTCCTCGTCTACTTTCTACCATACTGTTATTCCCTCCCTCTCTAGCGTCTCAACATGTATTGCTCTCGACACGCCCGGATCAGGATTGTCTTCTCTCGGCGATTCGAATTCCCCACAAACTGTAGCGTCGATTGTCAATGATTCAATTGCACTTCTCGATGCACTTTACGAAACAGCAGTTGAGGGAAAAGTCTGGGTGGTGGGCCACTCGATGGGTGGGATTATTGCGTGTGAGCTTGCTATTCGATATGCACAAAGAGTTGAGGGGTTGGTTTTGATAGGACCGGTGGTGCCAAGTCCAGTTTTAACAGAGGTTTTTGGGAAGAGGATTGAAACGGTTAGGAAAGGTATGAGAGTTTTCTTGTTTTGGAATTGGAGGTTAAAACAGGTTACTGATTGTGCTAGATGGACTTGAATCGCTCGCCAATTCGATACCAGAGGCTGCTACAGGTGCTCAAGCTTCGTCTACCCAGAAAGCTTTTATCAGGAGTTTGATCCTCGGGACTAGTACCCAGGGCTACATATCATCATGTGAAGTTATTGCTTCGGCTAGTAGACCGGATTATGCTAAAATCGACGTACCGATGATGATCCTAGCTGGTAGTGAAGATAAGACGGCTTCATATGAGGGGTGTAGAATGATTCATGATGAAGCGGGTGTGACTGCACAGAAGAAATGTGTTAGGGTTCTTCCAGGGGTTGGTCATTGGCATGCTATTGAGGCGCCGGAATCTGTGGCAAAGGAGTTTAAGCAATTTGTTGATAGTTTCAATAATTAAGTGAAATTAGATAAGACAGGGAAACAAGAATGGTGTTCCTAGCACGTCTTGTTCAGTTTGGTTTGATATCTTATGACTTATCTTTTGTAATGCGTCATGGCGTAGAATAGTATGATTAGGCTGGTTGCAGATTATGAAAACTTTGTTGCATTTCATTTATGTGTCATTGTACTGGCTGGATACTGCAGTAGATCTGAACATGAGACTCACTGTGATGGAGAAGAAAGGCAAGTTGCCAGATACATAGCCACAAAACTAGAAATTTAACATCTGGTACAGTTTCATATATTCATTGTGGTCAAGCCTACCAGTTTTCTCGCACATTGTCATGCCGGTTTAATAGTAATGCAGTGCACTGCCTGTGCTCGATTAGCCAACTCGACGATTTCCTCGGAACTGCGTGAATATCAAACTTGAAGCAGATGACCCCGTCAAGTTCTATCTCAGTCTCGATCTTGATGCATCTTTCAAGCTCATGTTTCACTTGATAGATCTTAAGTTATGTCTGAGAGCTTTCGTCGGTGTTCGGATAGCTAGGCAGCGATAGTAATGGAGTTGGTTGATCGCTGTCGGATAATGTCCGAGATTTATCATCGATGTCAGGATAGTTAGGTGGCGACTGTAATGCGGTCAGTTGACTGCTTGCTCGTTTCAAGTGTTGCGAGGAAGGGTCAGAACTTGGAAGACTTGGAAGTTGAAGTTCTAGAAGTGGACAATCATACTATAGGAGCGAAGGATAGGGCGTCATTTTGGAATCTACGACTAGTATTGGAGAGGAGAGATCTCTGTGTTTTCGGAACCCATTTCCGAAGCTTTGGAGAGCTCCTGCTTGTAGACATTTGATGACTATCGCGTCATTTATGATTCAAATAGATTGTGTATGTGTGTATTCTAGTTTTCTTATTTATGAAAATATTGTCGAGTGAAGTATTCTCACAGTGGTGCATGTATTTTGAACATCAAGTTACATTCTCTTAGAGCTTGTAAATTATAACTATGAGCCTATGTAATAAAACTAAAATTAAAATTGAAATCGGTCCCGCCGTTACTTTTAGAAAATTTAAACTCTACCTGATATGTGCAAACCACAGACATTCCACTCATCTAATTCTCACATAAACTCTCCAACATTAGCCCCTACACCTCCTGATTTTTCCGCCCAAGAAGTAGCACGCGGTGGTCTCGTGGGCATTCCATCTTCAGATCCCCCAACCCTGAAAGCATACAAAACTACATCCTCACTTGGACTTTCAACCTGTGTTCCGAAAATCTCTCCCCTAGTACTCAAACTTAAATCTGCAATTGCTGCAGACACCTTCTCAGCTGAAGATATAGGAATATTAGTATCCAATCCTATCACAACATTCCCATATAATTTCTCATATAGACTTGAGCGTGGGCGTAATTTTCCCTCATCTCCCGATCCATCAACGAGTTTCTCTTCATCATCCTCCGATTTCACGGTATATGATCCTGCGCTTCCTTGAGCAGTAGGACCACCTGTTCCATTTGGAACCCAGAATCTCAAATCCACACGTAAAAATAGATATCCATACACAACTATAATCTCAAGCATAAATCCAGTAGTATAGAAAACAGGTTTGCTAAATAGATGACTAGGTGCACTGATTGGTTTCTCAATCACAGCTCCTAGTAGACGTGTAATTGCTCCAGTGACTAGAAGTGCAGTAGCGAGCATAAGAATTATCGGCTTCATTCTAAATCTGCCGGCGCCGAATTTTTCGACAGGAGTAGAAGATGGAATTGCGGTAGCAAGAGTGACGAAGATAGCTGGAAACAGCGAAAGAAAAAGTGTCCAACATGAACCAAATAAGAGGAGGTTCTTCGTTGTTTCAAGAGAGCGAGGATTGAGAGTGAAAAAACTGATAGTGAGAGAGATGATGTTCCAGAATATGATAAAGGGGACGGATATCAAGATCGCGAGGAAAGCTTTCGAGACGATGGGATTCCAGCCGATATTTGGATGGGTAGCGCGGAGGATTCGTTGGGTGAAAATTACGTTTACGGCGAAGAGAACGACGACTCTGTTTGTTCGTCAGTACTGAAATTCCATGATTGATTTGGAAATGGTAAGATTACTTACCCGGCATTTTCAAAAATCAAAGCTGCAACAACAATACTATTATTCTCCGGACGAAATGCCCACACAATTCTCATGATACAAGTCACCTATTCGTAAGTCAGCACTCAATTCACTTGACGCCCATTGAGCGACATTCGTATTTTACAACTTACATTCCTAACCATACAGAAATCAAAAATCATGTCCGAGATAACAAACTTATGTCCCCTCTTCGAGTTAATTTCATGTCTGATGAAATGTGATGCAGCTCCCACAATAAACAATATCAGAAACACAACTGTAATCGGTACATCGACGTTTTTATTCGGGATCCCTCCAAGAATTGCTGCGACGGGTGAGAAAGGTCCGACCTTTGGTTGGGTAATTGAAGGTTTCATTGGATCTAGTTGTGCGCCTTGCAGAGCCGGAGATGCGGCAGGTGGTTTGTCTTCAGAGGGTGAGTTTAGCCCTGCTTGTTTGGCTGTTCCTGTTGTTCCTTTATCTGTGCTGGTGTTGGAAGTGGAGGGCTCGCTTGGTATACTTGAGGAAGTCATTTGTGATTGTGCGGTGACGGTTTCTGTTGTGGTTATCTCTATCGTTGTCGTTGCTTGAGGCTCAACTGCAGCTGGAGCAGCTGCCTGTGTTGTGGTGACCTCTATTGTTACTGTTCCTTGAGGTTGCGCGGCAGCTGGAGCAGCGGCTTGTGTAATTGCTGACATTATTTGCTCTGTAGAAACTGATCTTAAAGATGTCGACTGTGTGAATGTTCCATTGGGAGATGTAGGGGAGATGGCTGGTATAGGCGACGCTATAGTACTCATGGTCATATGCCGCGAGGAAGAAAGTCTTGCCGTAGATTGAGCCATCGTTGCCAGCGACGGCGCTGTTGTAGCTTGTTGTGATTGATTATTCCCCATGTTGACTGTATATTAGATGCACCTGGCAAAAACTCTAGAAATGAAAGAAAATAAGATTTGTACAATAATGTATTATTTTGACAGATGTCAAAGTTTTACATGAGCTTGGCTATCTGACTATATCAATGTGGACACTGTACCATTCCACTCGTCACCGCATCGGTGCTTCCCCTCATATCTCTCTCACAACTGGAGTCCGGATCCCATTCAGAATGTTTCCCAACTAAAAGGAACATCCGTGAAATGCTCGCATCCCCAAGTATCACAATGATGAGTCCTTCGGCATCGACCTAGATTCAACATATTTCCAGGATGACCTCGAAGTTTTCCAAAGGACCTAGATTCAACATATTTCCAGGATGACCTCGAAGTTTTCCAAAGGACCTAGATTCAACATATTTCCAGGATGACCTCGAAGTTTTCAAAAGGGATAGGTCGACAATTCCTCGCTAGAAGAAGCCCTGGTCTTTGACACCCCTCGCAACTCTGCGTTTCAAAAAGAATGACTAAGATACCTCGCAACCTCTTACATTGACAGGTTTGACATGTCAGTGAGCGAACATGAGCTGGGACATGATGTGCCACGATGTGAGTTCCTGACTTGACATCTGTCAGTTCGTGAGAAAGATAACCATGGCGTCAGTTGGCGGCACAATCCACTATCTATTAACTCTGAGTTGGGATTAAGGGAGCATTGAAAATTTGTTTAGAACTCCGGTTTATCTGATCCCGCTAAACAGTGGCCTTGCAACTGAATTCCATGAATTTGCTTCCTCCACAATGTTCGGCCGAAAATAGAACTTTGTGAACCACAACACCAGCACATGTTGGTCTGCAGTTTTCCCTTAGCAGATTATTTGTAGCAATACTGCGGGATTTTTTTTTCCGATTGAAAGAAATCACTTCAAGAAAACGGGATTGTCCTTGCGATTGAGAGATTAATAGGTTATGAGTTCACATTGCTGCCCACTTCCAAGCAGTCCATGCCATCGAACTAAATCCGAATGTAGCTTTCTTCACAAAAACAATTTTTGAGATTCAAAATTGACTTAGCATAAGCCCCAATATTTCCCCAGAATTAAATTCGATCCTTCTAGAAAACAAACTAATCGTATTGAATTGCCACTTCGATCATACAAAATACGAGGCTCAAGCCACAGAGAGATGAATGCTTTTGCCGATTATTACTCAGTCGTGTCCGAGAGTCGGGATTTCGTTTCAAAATTTCGTATTCAATTTCCGTTACCACCCAAACGAGAATTACGACCTTAGACTGCGCTTGGATGTTTCCCAAAACGGAAAGATAATTTTTCCGAAATGTCCGCAAAAAGAATTACACACAGAGAATAGAAACAGGAATGTAAGCAAGGGTCTCGCTGAAATATATACGCAAGATGCTGACGAGAAACTATAGCCTCTTGACCAAAACATAGGGTATTTGTATCTGCTGTCTTTCAATCAGGCTGTTGAGGCTGTGTAGAAATCTTTCCGTGCTGAAGGAAAATATGGAACAATCCCTTGCGAATATCGATCAAGTCCGTGCCAAAATTCACAGCGCTTTTGATAATAAAGTTCGAATGCGAGCAATAATGACGGCGGCTGAGTACACCAAGAAAGCTTTCTCAGACATTTATGTAAGATTGGCATATTATCGTGGTGAACTTGCTCTCGGGCAAATTGATGAATCATACATTTGATATTAGAGTATCTGATGCTAATGATGCCTTAGAGCTTCCCTTCCATGTTGATGTCAATCTCACGTGCAGTTTAGGTCTTATAGTATGATGCTTGTCTCGAGTGTTGCTTGCACACAGGACAATTCTTGCGTGTTTATCATCAAGATCCTCGAAGTTATACATAAAAACTTATGCGTGCAAACCGCAATTTCAGCCTCACCTGTGTCAAGATATGACACGTAAGTATGCAAATCAATTCTCGCTGCACCTGAGTTGAGATGACACCCAAGCATGCAAATCACAATTCTAGCTTCACCTGTATCG